TACGAAAAACAATAAAGAACAGCCGAGAGCTTTTTTATATGGAAATCTGAGTTAGATTCATTATTTATAATTTCTTCTACAAGAGTCTTAGGTTTAGAAATAGTAGATATCGTATAGGATCAGATTTCGATATTTTTCTGGCTCTGCAATCAGCCAACTTTTCTAGCCGCCTTGAGTCGGGTAAAGGTCTAGTTTTATTTCTCTTTGATTCAGTTAACAATTCTCATATTACAGACATCTCTATAATCTATTAACAATAGTGTACATATGACTAACATGCAGTAGAAATAATTTTGTTAGTTAGAACTCAAGTTGTCAAAAATAGAAATTGATTTTGTGTATCTCAATTATTAATGGTCATGGATATTTTGCTTTGTAACTTAGGAATGAAAAGAGCTATAAAACTACGATCCTCACCAAGCGAAAGAAGAGATATCAGAATGTTTTTTGTCTCCCACATTATATAAAACGAAATCATTTTAAAATCAACTGTTTTTATAAAGCATCGAAAAAAATGTACGAAAATTATTTGTCACTGAGATCAAATTTTTACAAAAAAAAAAGAAAAAGAAAAAGAAAATTTGTTTCAAAAATAAATGATTGATATTTTTTCGAGAGAGTAAATAAAAAATTTTATATGCTAAACATTAGAATGTGTGAAAATAATTATTCGAATTACAACTTAAGCTATAGATTTGAGAAATCTCTATCTGAATAACATATCAAAATCAAAATTTCATTGGGAACGACAAATCATTTTCATCTATATTTTGCAGAAATGATTGATTTTAAAATGATTTCTTCTTATACAATATTGAGGAAAACGAGATCTCAGCGTTGTCTCTTTCCATTAGTAATAATTGCAACTCTAACAGCTCTATTCATTCTTGCAAAAATGTTTATGATCATCATATGTTTTCAAAGACAGTAAAAGATATTTCTTAAAAAGAAAATATTATACTATTGTTATAGATAAATATTGCTAAACAGTAATATTTCATCACATAAAATACTTTCAAATTATAATAAATGAAATTTCAGTGATCCTTTAATGATTATCTACAATAAGTGTTGCACACATAATCGAATAGAACAATTTTAAACTGTTTGTTATCTGTTATCTTATTGGTATATTTGATTACGACAATTTATTATGGTGTCAGTTATTTCTGGATTGTTTCTATTAATACTATTTTCCTTGTAATAAAATGAGATCTTTTTCTTTCTTTTTTATTTTTATTTCAAAACATGCTTTTTTATACAAAATAGAAAATGAGTCAAAATTGTCAACAAAACAGTTCTTGAATGAAAACAGAAGACTATATCAACTAAATCTAGTGTTTTCTTGATATTCTACTTGCTATGTAATTACAAATATGTAAACAACGAATTTTCTTTTGTTTATTCGACCCACTTTGTACTTTGTGTTTGACAATAAGCTATATAAATCAGTTGATTTTTTCAAGTCATCTTTGACTTGTATGATAATAATATATAATACATATGGGATTCTTCCTTTTCTATACGTATATATAGATATGCGCATTCATTCGTATAGATGTATGTAGTTATTCTTCTCTGTTCTCTCTCTATAGTTGTTTTCTTCTCTATTACCTTTATTATTTCAAATAAACCAGAACTCACGTTCACATTCATACGTTCAAATATATATAAGTACGTACCACGAAACTTATATTTTTAATATTCGTCAAGAAAAAAAAGTTCATCAATATAGTTATATATTTGCTTAAAATGGAAAAAAATCTGATGAAAAACAATTTAATTGATTTATTTCATTGAAAATTGATGAAGCTTTTGCTCTTGGGGAATCAAATGTTAGTCTCGTTGTTTATTTTGTATTATTACTATTAATTAATAACATAATAAATTTTGATTAGATTTCAGTGGAAGATGATGAAAAAAACAATTTTTAATATCGATTTAAATAAATTACAAGTACAAATAAATGGAAGTTGAAAATCTGCCCATCTTGTTAAAAAATAAATCAATGAAGAGAAAAATGAAATTTTGA